TAGAAGCATGAGTGCCGACTATGCCCTCACTGACTTTACTCCACCTCTACATTGGATGACTCAGCTCACCAGCACAATAGAAGCCTAGTTTTCACCTGGGTTCAGGTGGGCCCTGCTTTGGGAACCATCCCCAGTATTCTGTTTACTTGTTCCAAGTGATAAAATCTCCTTGTTAAAGCCTTCTTGGTGGCAGTCATTGGACTGTCACCTGCTGAGTGACTGAATCCATCTGTATTGTGGGTAACATTGTGTCAGCCTGTAACAATGGGAGTAAAACCTTAGCTCCTTATGGAATATGAAGCCAGGCAGTAAGGTACTTTGCCATCTGGCAGCCACCTACTTCTCCAGCCACACTTTACACTACAGTCTCCCTTAATTGTGAAGATGCAGTCACACTTGCAATGAGCCAAGCTGGTTTCCTGATTGGGGCCTTTGTGTTTCCTCTTCCCTCTGCAGGGAACTCCCTTTCTCTAGGGGCTATGGCAGGATCTTCTTCATCCAGGCCACAGTTACTTTTTTGTGTGGCCATCCCAGTGGATGGAGGCTGTTTAGCCCCCACTGGCTGTCTATAGCCTAACTTTATGATATGGTTTGACTATATACTCACCCAAATCTCATCTTGAATTGTAGCTACCATAATTCCCATGTGTTGTGGGAGGGACCCAGTGGAGATAACTGAATAATGAGGGTGATTTCCTCCATACTGTTCTCGTGGTAGTGAGTAAGTCTCACGAGAGCTGATGGTTTAATGAGAACCCCTTTTGCTTGGTTCTCATTCTCTCTTCCCTGTCGCCATGTAAGATGTGATTTGTTCTTCCTTGCCCACTGCCTTGATTATGAGGCCTCTCCAGCCATGTGGAACTGTGAGTCCATTAAACCTTTTTCTTTATAAATTACCCAGTCTAGGGTATGCCTTTATCAGTGTTGTGAAAACGAACGAATACATTCCATTTCACTTTACTTTGCTTTTCACTTTGAATTTATGGTTTCTCCTCTTCACCCTCTTTATCCTCATACCCACACACACATCTAGAAAGTAAGCCAACAGAGGCAGGCCATTGTGATGGGGCCAGCTCTTTCATAAATCAGTGTAACTTCATGTCACATATCCTACAAGTTAAAAATCGTAACCAGCAAAAAATCTTTAATGTTGTCTTTCCCTGGACAAATATTGTCTTTCTTTGTAGATTCAATTTTTTTTTTTTTGTTTTTTTTTTTTGGGTTAATACTCTCCCCTCTTTCATATATGTGTCCTCAGTACCTGGGTTTGATTGTATCAAAATGTCTGCAACCATATTTGTGGCCAACGTCCCAAGTGGAAGGAAAGGGAAAGCATTTTGTCATACAATTCTTTCTATGTAATAAGGACAGTGGTTATTAGGATAATTTTGTTTTATAGTTGTAGCATCTGCTCACACTGGATGCCTCTGCCTGCTGGCTTCCATTGCTGGGGTGGACCAGCAGCAGGGCCACAGTGCCTCCTGTCCCCATGAGGTCCTCCCTCAGATTTTCAGAATATTGGATCAGGCCTGTGTGTGGCCCAGGGTGAAGGGCACCAGCTCTTCTGCAGGTTGCCTGTACCAATAATGCTGGAGGTTTGGATGTGGTGAGAGTCAGACCCCAGTTCTAGTTCCTCCTCATGGTTCTAGAATGTTCTTCTGGTTACATTTTGTCCTTATTCACCTTCACTTCATGCCCATTTTCCTTTTGCAATGGCCAGGTCTGCTGAGCTAAGGGCTTTCCAAACACTATTTACTTAAAGGGTTTTCTCAACACTGCCTTAATTCTTGCAGTAAGCCTTCTAGGTAAGTCTAATAACCTCCCTTCCACAAAGGGACCAACCCAGGCTTAGAGAGGTTGAGAAGCTTGCCCAAGTCCCCTATCTTGTGAATGTTATAAGCAGGGTTTGAACTCACAGCTGTCTGATTCTAAAGCCATAGGTTTAGCCACTGTGCTGGCCCATCTACCATAACAAAGGACAGGCGATTCCCATTTATACAGAGGTGCTAGACACAAGAACAAGATTCAAATCCCAACCACTCCACTCAGCAAGAAAGGAACCACAAAGTAAGCAGAGAGACACAGAAGGGTAAGCATACCCACTTCTTTTCCAGACAGAAGTCCTGCTACAAGCATTCTTCACAACAGCCAAACAGCAGAAACAACCTGCATGTTCATTAGCAGATAAATGGGATAAAGACAGGGTGGCATGTATAGGCCAAGGAATATTATTCAGCTTTAAAGAAAGACTGTAACATGTTCTAAAACATTTTACAACATGGATGAACTTTGAAAACCTATGCTAAGTGAAATAAGCCAGACACAAATATTGTAGTAGTCCACTCATACAATCATCAGGTACAGGCAAATTTCTAGGGACAGGAGGAGATTGGCAAATAATAATGACTCCCCATTCTGCATCTGGGGGCGGATACATGTGGAGTTATTGTTTAATGAGCACAGAGCTTCTGTTTAGGAGGATGAAAAAATTCTGAAAATGGTTTCACAATATTGTGAATGTAGTGAATGCCACTGAATTTTACAATTAAATATGGTTAAAATAGTACCCCAAAAAATCACAACCACAAGCACACTAGATTAATCACAGAAATAAAAAAATGATTTAATATCATAAAATCCACACATGTAACTGACTTTAATAGATTAAAAGAGAGAAAACGTTTTAAAAAATACCCTGTTACCATCACTGAGCCCAAAGTTATTTCCTATGCTGATGATTGCCAGTCAACTCTGCCTGAAATTTTTAAGTGGGCCATAAAGTCAGGTGTCAATAGGAGACCATTATAAAAACAGCACTAGGTGAGGGTCATTTGTAGAGTTTTCTATTCTTTTATTTTACATTTGTCTTCGTTTGTCCAGAGAAATCAATTCAGTAAACGTATGGACTGTCTGTTAAAATGTGATTTATGGGGCTATTTAAGTTCTCATCGCTGGAAGTTCTTTTTCCCTCAGCACTTCCAGTTTCACTATTCCCCAAGACTTCAAATCACAAATGTTTCAACCAAGTAAACTTTGTAATGTACAATGGATTTCCATTTTTTTCCCATCACAAATAAGGTGGTGTTCCCCACTCACCTGTAAAGAGACTTTAATACAGTACTTCTCTACAGATCTAAAGGAGGGTAGATGAAAGTGTAACAAACTATAAAATCACAACCTGTATGAGTCTGCAGAGGGACATTTGCCAAATTCTAAAAAGCCAAGGTTTAGGGAACTTCTTCTTTTAAGTGCCAAAGAGGTAGGTAAAAAACAAACAAAAAACAAAAATGAAAAGCTTTACTTAACAGCCAGTGGCATAATGAATTTACAAATATAGTCAAACTATGTACGTAAATACCATCATGGCTGTGGGAAGTTTGTGGATGACATCTTCATTCTGGATTCTTGAATAAATGTTCAATAATTATTATTTGTATATCATTTAAATTTAAGTAATTTAGAATGAATAATATTTTGAGAGGCTCCTCCCCCTTCCAGAGAACTGCAGTATTAAGGGAGGCTAGATTAACTTGTGGATCACACAGTAATAATTGAACACCAACGAAGGGAGTCTATGGGTCACTTCAAGCTGCCAACTGAGAAGATCTATTAATATACAAATGTGACCACAGTAAATCCAGACCTTGGTGTTCTTGCCAGAGAAGGCTGTCCTCCTTGGTCACTGTGATTTATGTGAATCTTTGGTCACTGTGCTCTACCCACACTTGCCTCCTCTTTGATTCTAACAGGCCAAGTTCCTCCCTGGGGGCCTTTGCACATGCTGTTTCTTCTTCCTGGAATGATCTCCTAGAGAATTTGACATATTTCTGATATCTATTTAAATGGCTCTTCTTCTGGGTGGCTTCAATTACTCCAGAATAGGGTAGGTCCCTGTGTTTCATACCCTCCCAATACCCTGTAGCAGACCCCTAAAAGCCCTCATCACAATTGAAATTAGTAGCTTAGGTAATTAGCCCTTGTCTGTCTCCCCAATTATATTATCAACTCCATGAGAGCAGAAATGACTATGCATTTATCAAGACCCATGACATATTTTGCAAGGCACAGTGCAAAATAAAAATTGGGGCCTTTTATTTGAAATTATTAAAAAATTTAAACTAGTGACAGTAAACAGTAAACAAAGCATGACACCCTCCTAAGCTTGTGGTCTTAGGCAATTAAACAGGTCATCCACCCGTGAAGCTAGCTCTGGTCTTTATTGTTCACCACTGTACTCACAGCTCCCAGCCCAGGGTTTGGCACACAGTAGGCACCCAGTAAGTACTTATTCACAAGTAGAGTATGTGAATTCTCTTCCTTCTTTGTTCCATCCATCTCCTATCATTTCAAGCCAAGAAACACGATTCCTGCTATGGTTACTCCATTGCAGCCAGCTTTGCATATTTTCCTTTAAAAGTCAAAGATTTCTCCAGCAGCTTCATTCTCAATCCCTAAGATTGAGACTTCTCAGAAGTTATAGCTGAGAAATGTATTTTTGTGTTTCCTGAAAGGAGACTCCAGTGCATCCTTCAGTGAACTGTTCTTTTTTTTTTTTTTTTTTTT